CGAACACTGTTGAATCGTGGTTCGAAGAAAATTCAGGAAGAATCGTCGATGTTACCAATATGTGTGAATTAAAAGAGCTAGTCGGAGCTCACAACAGAGTAGTCGCGTTCTTTCTTTACCTCTCGGGACAAGAAGACGAAGAACGAAACCTCAAAAACTTGCGAAATAACGGAGCAGAGAGGGATTCTAGCGGCGGAATACCGCGTGCACGTAGCACAGAGAGAGGAAACGAGGGACGTTCCTCGCAATCTTCCAGTTAGGAGAGCGGACGTGAGTGTACGAGCTTCTCTCTCGTACTTGGCATGAATGGAGAACGCGGCCGCATGAATGGACCGCCGATAGATTCGCGAGACGAAAAGCGGGCTGCGCGTCGTGGACGCAGTGCACAGAGAAGGTGGGAGTGGGGTGGGAGGGGAGGGAGGGAAGGATGGACAAGGGGCTGCTAGAGGAACCGGCAGGAAGGAGAGGGACGGAGGTGACATTGAACCGAATGCATTGAACAAGGCGAGCGTTATGGAACTAATGACAGGATGCGTGCCCCTCGCGCTCGTTACGCGCGTCTTCCTTCGTTCCACAGGCACTCCGTCGTCCATTCTCTCGTTTCTTCGAGAAATCAGATTGTTCGCGCGTCATCGCGTTCGCGTGTCCGCCACCGGATGCTGGGCACGTTCACCGACATCACCTGAGTTATGGTCATTTTTTTCGAGAGAGATTTCATTCGAGGATCGTGACTTTTTCCAGTGTTTTGTAACAGGCTTGGTTCTCTCGGTGAGTTGAAGTTGTGCGCAAGGTTTAACCCTTTTGGAGCGTGTGATACGAAAGAGCGTGGAATTTTAAAGTCGTATCGTGAAATATTTTAGAAAATTCAAGTACTTTGGAGGGTTAATAAGGTTTGTGGTTTTTTTAGTCGTTGCTTGTACGCTTTTTGTGATTTCGTTAGGTTGTAAGGGGGGTAGAAATTTTGAGGATGATTTTTTAAGCAGACAGAAAATTATGACGAAGTTGAACGTCTTCTGTTAGGTCGGATTTTTAATTAATTGCAAATTGCAAAGTGGTTACTTGAGTATTGAAATTCTTGGGTAAGTTAGTATTGGAGAATCTTACGATAGTGCGTGTTCAAATTAAAAAAAAAAAACGATTTTCATTCCTCCTTGAAGAATTTAGGAGAGAAAGTGTGATAATTGGGGTGTGTTGATGATTCAAAGCTTAGAATATCGAATTTACCAGATCTTCTTTATCAGGGTGCTTGAAAGAATTCCATTTAAAATTAATGAAGAGTGCAGGGAAAAAGGCAAGATTCCAAAAAGTACAAATTAAAATTACTTTCATTTTAACCAACAAACTGACAAGTTAGCGAATTTAAAAAACCAAAATGCTTATGTGATTGCTTATTCAAACAATAAATTAAAACCTACTGTTATTGTACTACAGTCTCATAGAAAAATGATTCGAAAATTCCACTTTCTTTCTCCCGCAAAATTTCCTCCCTCCGCTCTTCAAGCTTAATTGTCACCAAATTAGGTTAAAACAATCAAACGCAAACACACCGGTCGAGAACGGTTGCGTGCCGCGAACGGAAAGTGAAACATGGGTGGAAACTTCCGCAGCGACAGGTGGAAACGGAAGAAGAGAGAGAGGACATTGTCTGGCCGGTAACGAAATCGAGTGTTTGCGACGATCAAGATACTGCTCGGAAACAGCGTGCACCGCACGGCTGGTACGCGTACACTCGAACCCGTTCGAGGCTAATTATAACGTCAACCGCTATTATGAAGCTCATCGTCGTGTAAATCGATTCCACTGCGCACATCGGTATCGCATAGACAACACACACAGGCACAGACACGCCGTCTGTGTGTGTTACCAGCGTATCACATCGAGGCTTACTCGAGAATACTCGGTGTCTCTGGCTACACCGTGAAATCAGAGAGACACACAATACGACCGCGCAGTGTCGCGTGGACAAACGCGATTTGTGCTCGTGAAAAACATTTAAACGATCGTGCGAAGAAACGCGAAACAAGACATCGATCGCGTGGTAACCGAATGCTTAAACTGGTTCTCACCCGAGCGGCCATAGTACGGGACCAAGAGAGTCGACGAGGGCAACGATGGCATTCTTTCGATTTCGCGCGAGCGTTAGAGCGACCTTCCGTTCAGAGGTTCAATCAAGCGAGTAATTTATACCGAGAGGAAGCTGTTCCCGTTTGCTCGTACCGAGAGAAACATTCTGTTCGCGAACGTTCTATCGTGGAAAAGAGAGAAAAATCGACGATAGCCTGTCTCTTCCCCAACGAGAACAGTCGAGGATTTCTTCACCTTATTTGTATAGGAACGGGCGTGTAAAGAAAAAACGCGATGCTCGAAGGATGAGAGAAAGAGAGAGAAAGAAAGGAGGAGACGAGAGGAATGGTGAATTGGTGATGGAAAAAGCTGTTGCCGCGCGTTATCTCGGAACGACACGCCTTCTGGAGAACGCAAGCAACGTGGAATGTGCGCATTGAGAAGGTGAACGCGGTTTGCGAAGTCGGAGAGGGAAAACGGGTGGAACGAGGGATAAAGAGGGAAAAACTGGGCGACAGGAGTGATCGGGAGAGGAAAGAGACGGTTGAACGAGCCAGTTTTTACGATGGCCACCACACCGCGCGCCACTTCGCGTTCACCAATTGCCCACCATATCGCCTGAACCGAACCGTTTCTCTGTTACGCCCGTGGATCGTAACAAAAGTTACAATCGTTTTTCGAACACTTACAGTATCTCGCCGAGAAATATATTCACAGTAACCCTTCCATGTACCGAAAAGAATCATCGCGTTCCGTTCTTTTGCCGCAGGAGAAAAAGAGGTGAACGCTCAGAGAGAGAGAGAGAGAGGCGGTTACCGGTTTCGAAGACGAGTATACGAATTAAGGGACAAGTATATATTAGCGAGTCCGCATAATCGACATTAATAACAATCGTCCAGGCCTGATCGTGTTGCAAGCGGACGTAATGGGCCGCAATAAAGTTAATTGCAAATTACTTTGCGAGTCACGAGCGTGGAGGTAACGTTTGCGTGCACGTTTCCCGACGACGCATTCAAACGTTTCGGTTAATTGCAATCGTTTGGTAGAATCGTACGCAAAAGAAGAAGAAGAGGAGGTGGGAGGAAGAAGACGATGATGAAGAAGAAGATAGGGAAAAATGGAAGGGAGAGATCGAAGAGTCGCAAGAAAATTAAAGTCACGATCTAGCGAGGGATACAAACACGACGAGGGATAGGTCGATGGAGAGGAAATGCCTGTGAAAGATGATGGACACCCATTACCTTATCAAGATCATCAGAGATGTAATAATGGTAGGACGCTTACAAAAGAAGACGCGGCCCATTCAACTGGTTCACCGCTTCAATGCTTTCTGCCCTTCTCTCTCTTTCTCCTCTACCTCGCTGTTGCCTGCTGGCTTGCTGCTGCGCTCACTCACCGCGGCATTTATTATCGGCTCTATCCTTTTCGCGATTGTCGATCTAATCTGCGCACATTGAATCTCAACTGGACGGAGAATGCGTCGCAGTTAACGTGAACGCGCTGGAATGCCGGTTGTTGCCTCTAATCGGCTTTGAAAGAGGATTTTTCCATCGCCACCCTTCTCTACTTGTCCTTTCAATCAACACGATTTCTACGCCTGATTTTGCCCCTAATTCTATTATCAACCAAACTGATACCCGCGTATACTTCATTCTCCTTAACGGATATTCTAATGTAGATACTAGAAAAGACAATATTGACCGAGAATGTTTCGAATTTTCTGAAATTTTTATTTTTCCGAATTTTCTCAAACAGAGTATCAACTACCTCTTACTGTTCGTTCTAACGAAGAAGAGACAGATAAAAGTTTGTAAAATAAAATCACGAGAAAATTGCACAAACGTCGACCGGACTTTTGACCGTTTCCAAGAAAAGAAAACTTCGAAGCGTTTAATCGATTCGTTCGAATCGAACACGGTCGAGAAAGGAAACCGTGCGATACTACTCGTACAAAAGAAGATCCGTGACAAAATTCTAGGATCCTCGGTTGGCCTGTTGTGTCGCAGCCTCGCTAACACAGCCAGATCAAGCAGATTAGCGAGCGGCTAATTAGTCACAAGGGAAGAATCTCCGCGTGTCTACCAGCGGCGAGGACGTGGAAACGAAAATGTGTACGTGAGGTTACGAGAGGAGGACAGAAATGACGCAAACTGCGATTCGTTTAGAAATCTACGCAAATTGTATGTTCCGACGATTATTCCATTTAGCGTTTTCCTTGCTTTAATCACCGCCGCGATTTCAAAGACAGCCATTTCGCGAGACGCAATCGAGAGGGGCTATACCTGGCCTGTGTATTGCAATCGTTGACATTCTGCGTTGTTTCTCTCTACGAAACTTTTCCATCCCGAAACTTCCAGTATTTCCATACGAATTCTCGAATTTTCATTTCACACGAAAGGAAAAAAAAAGAAGAAGAACGCACACGCGACGACGTTTGAAGCTAACCTAACAGTTCGATACTCGAAAACTTCTAGCAAGAAAATCTCTGCAGGCTGTCAACGATCGATCTATTCGTTAATTAAAGAAAAATTCAAGAAAATCTCTACTCACGTCTTTCTCTCTCCTCCGTGGAACTGGTGTCGAAGAAGCGGCTGGTCGTCGACTCGTCTGGATAGTGTGTTGTCCTGTAGACTCTTCCTGGCTGCTCCTTGCCGCGGGGGATTACTCTCACCGATTAAACTGTCGCTGAAGGAGACCGGTTTGAAAAAAACTCTCTCCGATATACCGACTGATATATTGTGTATGTATATATATATATATATATATATGTATGTGTGTGTGTGTATATATATATATATATGTTCTGTATTTAGATACGGTGTCCCCTTGTCGCGTTTATACGTTTAAGGAGGTTGGAGAAATACTGAACAGGACAAAATAGTAGACAAAAGAAGAGAGTCGGAAGAGATGCGCGAGTGTGATCGTTTATTCTCTGTCTATAAACCCTCCTTCTTTCTCACTCTCTCTTTTTTTTTACGCGCGCGTGCGATTACGCTCGTTCGCTCGAGGGAACCGTGCGGTGATAGCGGGATGAAGGTTGGGTCGTGTGTCGAGATGGAATCGTCGGGGCCCCGCTTATATACCCATTTACCCACCAGCGGCACCACGGCCAGGATCGTATAGGGGGCCCCGACCCTCTTCACCCGGCATCTCTAAGGGGCCCCTCTTTTACTCTTCTCTTCTCGTCTCTCTTCCGCCGTTCTTCTTTCCTCCACCTCTGCTACACCTCCCCCGCTGTACCTCCCTTCGCTCCCTCCGTCCATCTTTCTCTTTTCGTACCGTAGACAGTGTTACCCTACGATCGTTTCCTCTTTCTTTCTCCATTGAACCACAACGACGCTTGTGTGTGCGTGTGTGTGTGTATGTCCACCAACCAAGCTGATATTCCTCTCTACAACGACCCACGCCGTCTACGAGCAAAACGAACCGGGGGCTGCGATCCTCGGCGAGAGATTTTCAAGTATCGAATCGGATAGGTGGCTCGCGGTCTCTCGAACCACGGTGACATGTCCCTCCTGCCATAGAAGAACCAACACTTAACCTCGTGCACCTGTTTTTACAACCCTGTCCGTTTTGTTCGATCACCTGTTGTGATTCGTTAGGAAATCGGCGAAACAGTTGGACGAAGTTTGTTCGATCTTGTGGAACAGACAAGTTCTCTTTCTTTGAGGGGTTTAGAAGCTTGGCTTTGAAATTGACGCCTCGATTTCTCGTCGCGGTGTGAAGAATATCGATCGATCCGGAGAGCTAACTCGGGAGGATAAGCTTGTTTAGAGTCGTGTAAATGGAAGTGAGGAGGAGGTGAGATATTGTTCGAACTATGGCTCCGTTTTTCGACGGTTTCAGCGGGAGAGGAAGGTTCGAGGAGCATCTCTAGTCGAAGATGTATTATACGTGTGATATGTTGCTCGAGTCGACGAGTGGGCGAAACGTGTTAACTCGTCTTTTGTGAGATACGTTCGCGGAGTGAACGTTCGTTTGTACCTTCGTCGATGTTTAACGTTCGATGGGAATCGTTTGGTTATGTTGGCCTGTACTTTGAGAGTTGCTCGATTTATGGCACTATTTTGGTTTCTTCTCGATGGTTTTTTTTTTAATAATGAGAGGGAGAGCTTGGATTCTTCAGTTTTACTCGTTTTTGTGGAACATGCAAAGTGGGCTTTATTCGAGGTCTACAGTGGTAGCTTTAAAGGTGGCAATGGCGAGTGTGTTTGAATGACAGAGTTGGGGTAAGAATTTTATCGAAGATAACGAGAACTACAAATTTTGCTGGAATTTTGGGACGAAGTTGAAAGGTCATGTTAGAGTATTTAATTGTATGTTTCGTACGAGCATTGAGTAAAAGGATATCGTTTTTCGTTTAATAGGAAGTTCAATTTCTGACACGAAACGTGTTCAGATTAATCCGGAGAGAACAGATTGTTCTGTTGTATTCTTGTAATGACAATTGTATATCTCGTGTCAGGGTACATTTCATTTAGTACCATCTACATTGATTTTGCGATTTTTGTGTGGTTCATCTTGTTAATTGAAATTGAAAAGTATTCGAAATTTTTATTCGAAATTACAGAATATCGGAAAAATTGAGAAATTTTACGTCAACAAAGAGGGAAATAATAGAATATTAACGAGTGTAAAATTAGTATTTTTGTACAATTTGAAAATTAATTTTTGTCGTCTCATTGGTCAAGCGTTGGATCTCTTTCGATTCGAATTTCGTTGCTCTCTTTTAACATTCTACTCGGTATTTGATGACGCACCTGTACATTTAGCCGGTTTATGTTTCCATTGTACGAACAGGACGGTGTTTTAAAAGCAGTTGGTTCAGCATGATTCAGTATCGACCGGAAGTGCAGTGGTAACGCGGTACGAGCTTGATAAACGTGAAAAGGACCTTGATGTTTGACCGCGATGGGAGAAGCGATAGAAATATTAGGACACGTTGATTGGCTCGTAGAACGGCGATCTTTTTCGCCTGCTCGATCGTTCGTCGTATTTTACGGTAACGCGCATCATTTCTCAGAAGGAAGCTCTTGATTGGTACAATGTGGGTTTTGTTGTTAATTACTGTGACAGTTTTTTTTGCCGTTCGGGAAATTTGATATCGAAGAAATTTCAAATTAAAAACTTTCACATATCGCATTTCAAATTTCCAAATCTTCGAATTTCATATTTCATATTTTCAAATTTCAAATGTATGCGGTGAAAAAGCTTCCAACTCTCGACCGAAAGTCGACTATCCAATTTTTCATCAAGAATCGTTATTAGTCACAGTTTCAAAATGAATGGAAGTAATTTCAATCTGAAAGAGGAAACGTGAAATGAGAAAGCCTTTCGCATTTTGGACACGATTCCGTCAGAATTATTCTGTCCGTTACATAAAGTGATCATCTTCATTCTGTTATCTTTTTACGCGGAGTATTATCATCGGCGCGACGTGTTAACAACATCGTCACTTCGAGCTGTGAAATTTCGACGGTACAAGCTTGACGTGTCTTTCTCTCATTCACCACTGAGGATACTTCTCTCAATGAGTACAAACGAATCGTCTCGCGCGTGTCCAACATACTTAAACGTCCGAAAGACGCTTGGTTCGCGCGAACGGAAGTACGCGCAGAATTTGTAACAAACCTTAACTAATCCCAATTTGTCCACGTTGTCGTCAAGTTTTACGAACGCTGTTGAAAGTGTTTCTAAGAATTTCTCAGTTGTCATTAAAAAAAAAAAAAAAAAAGAAAAGAAAACAAAAAATTCTTTTCCCGTTTAATTCTATGATTTAACGTTTCTTTCTTTCAGTTTCATCTCGATCGATCGATTTATCAAATTGGAGAAACGTGGTGCTAGCCTCTATAAGTCTAAACTCGTTTTGTAATTTTAGCATTGTCAGGATCGACAGGCGAGATTAAGTGGAAATGTTTAGAATTTAAGATGGCTCCAAGGTATATACAAGATTTTTTTATGATAATATCTAATGAGTCATCGTAGAGATGTATCGGTATGGGAATTCGTGAAATGTTACAATCATTTTTATTAGAATGCCTATTGTCTTGTTCCTTGGAATAATTCGTTTGATATTTTTGTGCTTGTAATTCGATGAAAAACGTGCTCGTTGCACAAGTGAGCGAATGATTGTCTGTGAAAAATGATTTACCGTATCGCTCTATTCACCGAGGAGATTCATTGAGATCTAATTCTTTCAATTACACACACACTCCTTCAATATTCTACAAATCTTATTTCCAAATGAAGACAAAAACCTTCCTAGGTTTTCCTAAAAACTATAACAAAGTAAATCAAATCAGGCAGATTAAACAATCTTCAAATAAAAAATCTCTCCATTCCGAATTCAAACCTACTGCATAAATTTCTCACTGGAATATTTTCTAATAAAAACGTTTATATCAACGATATAGGTGAACAAATCCTCAGGAATCTTCTGAAAACGCCTCTTTAACCAATCTGCTCCAATTGAAATGCAAAATTATTCAAAATCCTTCGAACAAATAAAATCAGTCCAACCGTGAGACGGCTAATCTTCAAACCTACAAGGATTTAGCATAAAACCCTTTCAACATCGAAACACCACTCCGACAACCGAAACTTTCTGTTCCAATTAACACAGAAAACCTGGCAAAGCTCTGTTAAATCCTCTGGAAGCAACACCTGATCTCTCCATCGACTCCGAAATCTTCTTTCACAGCAATCTCCGAATGGAATACCTGTTCGACCTGTAGCCTGAGAGATCAGACGCGAATCGGCGTCGGCTTAACGTCAATGTAAATCGTTTTCGTAACGTTCGATCCGGTCGTGAGTCATCATTCGGTGCCTGTTTCCTGCTCTTTCTCGCGTCTCTCTTGAGAGCGCGTGTCTGCCGGCGAAGCGCATACACAGACGCGCGTGCGTCGCCACCGCATTATGTAAACGTCGCGGGACGCCTCGAAGACGAACGAGGCCGCGGCGCCGCGACGAACCCCGCGATTTTCCATCGCGAATCGATTCGATCCACGGCTGGCCCGCAGGCCGGACAATGTTGCCGACGCGACGCATCTCGACGCTCTCCCGGACCGGTTTTCTTCAGGGCGAAGGTCGTCGTCTGATGTGAGGTCGTCGATACCAGATTTTTACTTAGCCGCGCGTGGCTCGCCTGATCGATGTCCAGAGCGAGCAGCATTTTGGGAACGGAATGAAAAATAACGTTTTAGTAGATTTTTTTAACCGAAAGAATCTTGCAGAGAAATAGTCTCTTTTTTTTTTATATAATTTAGTATTTTAATAGTATTGTAGTATATGGTACTTAAATAGTATTTTTTAATGTAATTTAAGGCCGCATCAACTTTTTGATTATTGGCGACCACAGTTTGAAATTATTTTGTATATCGTAATGAAGGTTTATTTGATCGATAAGATCGATTGCTTTCTGGAGGTTTTCTTCCGTTTCGAATATTTTTTTTTAATATTTCTTTTCCATATTTTGCGGCTATTCTGTACCTCAGGATGAAGGTGTATTTGATCGATAAGATCGATTGCTTTCCGGAGGTTTTCTTCCGTTTCGAATATTTTTTTTTAATATTTCTTTTCCATATTTTGCGGCTATTCTGTATCTCAGGATGAAGGTGTATTTGATCGATAAGATCGATTGCTTTCCGGAGGTTTTCTTCTGTTTCGAATATTTCTTCAACCGTTTCGTGACAGAATTATTCTTTTTAAAGAGCTCGTCATTTATCTATTGATTATTGCGTTTCTAATGGATACTAAATTCAGATGAATTTTTGTTAATATTGTTACGTATTTGGAGATGATTTTTGGTGCCTGCATTTTTGCTTAAAATGTAGTTACGCGTTGCCTTACTGTGCGCTATTATTATTTGTCCTTTTCTGCTGAATTTGACTGTGGCGAAGGTACACCTCTTTTCCATTTTTCTTTGATAGAATTATTCAAGAAATTTCAAAAGTATTTTTCCTCATGACTGAAAGATTTCATATTCGTTAATGTTTTCGTTACGAACTGCTAAAGTAAATGATGAACATTCTTATG